CTTATAAAAGCATTCCATTCCAACTCAAACTGCTATGGTATGTGGCTTGAATTCCTGAATGCCCCCCTTGAGGACTAGAATGCAGCCATTCAAGAATTTCTTGTTTCAAAATAGGATCCTCTCCTACTACTAACTTCCCCTTCCTTCTCAATAAATCAGCATCCCAAAAAAAATGGCCCTAAATCCCATTACTTTCCCGAACCTTCTTTTGAATTTCCATGATTACAGCATCATTCTTCCAACTCCCCTTGACTTTATCAAGCATTTCAAGCGAAGAAGTGTCTAAAACAATATGCATTAATTGCTGTTTAGGAATTCTAGAAAGAGCAGCAGCTATAGAATTTTCGTGCCCCGTTTTATACTGAATTTCATAAGTAAATCCAGCTAATTTAACAATCCAAAACATCTGAAAGGATGTTTTTAGCTTTTGTTAATGAAGTAATGCCAGCACCACAACTATTAATTCCTTCTCATAAATTGAGAGTTTTTGATGTCTCTCAGCCAAACTCTTGCTAAAATAAGCCATCAGCTGTCCCTCTTGCATTAACACGGCTCCCAATCCTACTCCACAAGCATCTGCCTCAACTATAAATTGTTTGAAAAATTTGGAAGTGTGAGAACAGGTGCAGAAATCAAAACAACTTTGAGTTTATTAAATGCTTTAGTAGTTGCCTATGACCATTCAAACCCATTTTTCTTGAGAAGGGTTAAAGGCTTAGTTAAAATCCCATATCCTTTAATGAAGCGTCTGTAGTACCCTGTCAAACCCAAGAATGCTCTTAATTGCTTAACATTCTTTGGTTTAGGCCAATTAGCTACTGCTTGTAACTTCTTCGGATCAGTTCTAACTAAGCCATTTCCAATCAAATGTTCCAAGTACTCCACCTCTTTGGCAGTGAAAGAGCATTTACTTTTCTTGACAAAATAATGGTTTTCTCTTAAAATAGAGAAAACTTGCCTCAAATGCTGCACATGGTCATTAATATTAGCACTATAAACCAAAATATCTTCAAAGAATACCAGAACAAACCTCCTTAGAAACGATCTTAAAATGTTGTCCATAGCTCCTTGAAAGGTTATCGGGGCATTAGTTAAGTCAAAGGGCATAACTAACCATTCATAATGTTTGCTATGAGTTTTGAATGTTGTTTTATGTACATCTTCCGCATCATTTTGATTTGATGATACCCAGCTCGTAAATCCAGCTTTGTAAACCACCTTGTTGTGCTCAATTTCATCATATAAATCTTCCACTAAAGGAATAGGATACTGGTTTTTTATAGTCTTCTTATTCGGCTTCCTATTATCTATGCACATCCTCCATTTACCATCTTTCTTTTTAACCAAGACAATAGGAGCTGAAAAAGGGGAAGAGCTTTTTTGGACAACCCTTGTTTGAAGAAGATCCCCAGCTAATTTCTCAATTACATCCTTCTGTGCAGTGGGATATCTGTAAGGCTTCAAATTAATTGGATTGGTGCCTTTCTGTAGAATAATTGGATGGTTATGGCCTTCCTTAAAAGGTGATAATCCCTTAGGCTCCTCAGAAAGGTCAAAAAAATTTGTCAAAGTGGTTGCAATTTCTGTTGAAATTTCCTTAGGAGGTTGAAGTGAAAAATATTGCAAAGTTGTTGGATACTCTATAACAGGTTGTATTAAATAAACCTGACTATCCCGAGTGTCTCTCCTCCCTAAATACTTTGGCTGGACTACCTTTTAACTGATTAGGAATGTTAGCTTGGAATTTACATAGCTTTCCTTCATACTAGAAAAACATAGTGAGGGTCTCATAGTTCCAAAAAGCATTTTTTATGCTTTGCAACCAATGTAACCCTAAAACCATGTCATATGAATGCAGTTCCAGAATTCTGAAGTCAAAGATAAAATCCAAGCTCTGCATGTGCCATTTGAAACCCTTCCACATTCCATGTACTTTTAATTTTTGACCACCAGCAACCTCAATCCATGACTATGAGTATTACTAGGCTGCCACCCTAACTTTCTTGCTAACTCCAGATCTAAAAAAATCATGTGTGCTTCCACTATCAATGAGAATTTGGAGCTGTTTTCTACCATAGTAACCCACAACCCTCATTGATGAAGTGCCTTCAATTCCTTCTATTGCATATAACGAAATTAAGGGTGACTCCTCTTCTGGAGTATCATTATTTTCTAAGTCCTCAGTTGACTTTTCTTCATCTATGTTTTCTTGAATTTTGATGAAGTGGAGCTGCATCTTTTGTCTTTGGGGGCATTTATGGTCTCTAGAAAATTTTCCATGACAATAGAAGCACAAATTCTTGCTTCTATGTTCAGCTTCTTCCTCCGTAGTCAAAGATTTAAAGGTGTTACTGCCACTTTTTGATAAAGAACTATTATTTTTAGGAAGAGAAGAGGGTTTCCCTTTTGCTGGGCCCCACTACTTAGAAGGGTATTTTTATAAGAAGGCCAAGCGGTCTGGTTCAACAGTGACGAAGTATTCCTAGAAGTAGACGCGTGTGTTGGAGTCTTGCCACCAATCTTTTTTTCTGCCATGCGTTGAATCGAGATTTCTTGCATGCAAGCTAGCGATCAAGCCTCCTAAAGAGTCCTAGGTTTAAAAAGACGTATGGGTCCTCTGTATTCCTCCATCAATCCTTCCAAGTAAGCATCAAGGGGATAATCCTGGAAAAGGTGGAGCTTGCAAGCGATGGAGTCAAACTCATCATTGTAGTCCGCCAATGACCCCTTTTGGCAAAGTGGCATCAAGTCGCCTATGAGTCTCTCATGTGCAGGCCTAAATTTTTCTCGAAGCCACTCGACGTACTGTTCCCAGGTGGGTTCGAAACCACCCCATGTTTTCTCTATCGCGGTGTGCCAAGACCATGCCTTCTCGTCCAGGTATATACTCGCCGTTCGCACCTTCTCATCTTCTGGTGTATTGTTTAGTTCGAAAAACGCTCACAACGCATAAGCCACCCCATGACGTCAGACCATGAAAACTTAGGAAACTCCATTTTTGTAAATTAGGTCTTGCATCGGTGCTCATCTCTGGTACATATATCTTTGTTCTCGAGCTCGATGACCCTCTATCTTAAGATCACGTCGTCCTCTTATGTCATGAGTGGGAGGACCTTCTTCTCTTTCTCACATGAGTAACTATAACTGATTAGAGATGCCTTCAACCATCTCTATTAAAGTGTCAACCTTTTCAAATCTTTCTTCCAATCTTGTAACACAATCATCCATCTCTTGTTTTTTCTGGTTTCTGGTTTGCACCATAAACTATCAGGGTAAGGGGGAAGAGATCAAGAAGAGCCAATGGTCAAGGATTGGCTAGCTCTGATACCACTATTGTGGTAGAATAATTCTAACTGAGGGGTTTAGGGAGAATTGAGAGGGTAGAGAGAAGAACAGAAGAGGTAAAGAAGAATTGAAGGAATTTAGAGATAGTAGAGATAAGCTGAATAATGCTCAGCCTTTTCTCATAAAACATAATGAATACAAAAGTCTAAAGGTATTTATAGCAATACAGATTCCCAACAGCTATATAACTAATTGACATCAACGTTATAAAAAGCTAAAGGAGTTATTTGCGACCGTAAGGTGCCTAATAAACTTAAAGGAAAGTTTTATCGCACTGCTATCAGACCGGCAATGTTATATAGTAGTGAATGCTGGGCTCTAACAGGACAGCAAGAGTATAAAGTTGGAGTAGCAGAGATGAGAATGTTACGATGGATGTGCGGACATACACGTAAAGATAAAATTCGAAATGAGCACGTACGCGAAAAAGTGAGGGTAGCACCTATTGAGGAAAAAATGGTAGAAAATCGGTTGAGATGGTTTGGGCATGTACAAAGAAGATCAAGGGAGGCACCAGTGAGAAGAGTGGAACATATAACTTTGAGTCCGATTAAGAGGGGTAGAGGAAGGCCTAAGAGAACACTCTTGAAAGTTGTTGAACGCGATCTCTTAATTAATAATATTCCTAAAAGCTTGATAAATGATAGAGCACAATGACGTCTTGCAATCCATGAAGCCGACCCCACCTAGTGGGATAAAGGCTTGTTGTTGTTGTTGTTGTTATAAGAATACAACATTTTTGTCCACAACATTGGCTAGTTGCCTTTGTTGATGCTGTGGTCAATGTTGTTGATTCTTTTGCCTTTTGAATCTGCAAAATCTATCAATATGCCGCCCATGTTTCTTGCAAATCCTTCACTGAGCCTTTTTCCAACATTTATCTTCATGGTGATTTGTTATTAAAGCGACTGCAAGATGGATTTTCCTTTCTCAAGCTCTTTGCTTTCTCCATTCTCTTGCTTTCCTGGAAAGTTTCTATTCCCAGCTGCCTGAGCTATATGGTTTGAAGTTATGCCTTGCTTGAAAAGCTCCTTCAGTTCGACCCACAGAACTCATTGTGGCTCTCTGCTCCTGAACTTGCAGCTTACTTATCATTTAGTCTACAATCAGTGCTTTTAAATCACAAGAAAGCTGCCATGACAGACCAAAAGTCTAGCAAAGCTAAAACAAAAAATCAGCAGAATATCTTTGCCTAAAGTATCTAGACAAAGTCTCATTACATCAACGTATTCATCAATATTTGGTTGAGCATGCTAGTTTCAAAATAATTATATCCATCTCACCTTTTATCTCTAGCATGAAAGTCCTCTACTTACACTAGCCAAACGCCAGCATTAATAAGCAATTCACTCCAGTATTATTAGCCAAGATTCCTCTCAACTATTTTTCATTTTTATGTCCTCCGCCGTCTGCTATTCTATCTAAGCCAAACGCAAACAAGCCTTGATGCATATTTCATGAAATCATAGCATGTAAACTTATTTGCATCTGTCATAGTGTATGTTTTAATTAAGTAGGATGAAATAAGCAAAATAATCTTCGAAAAATTAAATAGCTTCACACATTACTTGTCCTTTTATTTATTAATTTTATCACTTTTACTATTTGAAGAAGCTCACGTTTCTCCATTTCTTTGATCAATATGTGGGTGGAAGATATCAAAATACCATCAACCACGGCCACTAATCATTTCTGTGTAGACATGCAACAAGAAGGCGAGATGAGTGACAGAGCCAAAGGTGCAATAATATAATACTCTCTAACAGTTGATTGGAAGACGAAATCAAATAATATTACAAATCTAATAGAACACACACGTATATATATTCAAAGATGTGAAGAAAACTATTTTATTTATCATACATGAAAATCAGTTATGTCAAAATGTAAAATTTGAAAATAAAAATCAATTTGGGCATAGTGTTGAACCTAACTGTGATGGAATGCAAGAAAAAGATAGACCTGCGTATGCATATACATGTGTGTGTAATCCTTTTGAATGATTGGGCTGACAAGATTCCATCTCAATAGGACTAACTCTACTACGCTGGCTCATGTCCCTCACTTGTAATTTGTCTGGTATGTATGCCAAAAAATTCACCAAAATTTAAATTAGTAACTTGAGATTTTAGTTCTCATGATTAAACTTGACTAACATTAACTTATATTTGAGTTACCAATTGTCCAGGAATGAGGGAAATACATAAGCTGAAGTTGCAACATGCACAAGCAACTGAAATTCTAAACCTAGCCTGTAAGAATCTAACATCTTTGAATCAGGATAAAAAGCAAAAGATTGCAACAGCACTGTTGACGGCGGCTAAATTAGGAAATGTTGAGTTTTTGTTTAAGGTATCAACGGCAACCCAGGATTAACTTCAATGGTTACCTTTTTTCAACAAAAGGGCATGCTTTCTTCAATGCTGTTGAATATCGTCAAGCTGAGATTTTCAACCTCTTCCGTGGGTTTCACTTTAGGAATGTGGTCGCAGCAATGTTAACTGAAAAGAACAATAACTTGCTGCATATGGCAGCCATGTTGGCTCCTGCTTCCCAACTTAATCGCATTTCTGGTGCTGCTTTGCAAATGCAAAGGGAATTGCAGTGGTTCAAGGTTAGAAGTTAATCAAATTAAATGCTTTTCTTTGTGTGAGAGATGTAATTCAACTGGAAATGAGGGAATGATTGCATTAGCCCAGATGTAACAAATAGTTTAAGATACAATTTTTCATCAGCACTTTTATTGTTTTTCTCTTTTTGAAATATAGGCGGTAGAGTGTTTGGTGAATCCCGGAATTGAGCTTCGTCTAAATAAAGAAGGGCTGACTCCTCTGGACTATTTCAAAAAAAACCACAAAGAACTGAGGAATGAAGGAGAGAAATGGATGAAAGATACCGCATCTTCTTGCTCAGTTGTTGGTGCTCTTATCGTTACCATTATGTTTGCCGCAGCTTATACTGTTCCAGGAGGAAATGATCAAACTTCTGGGTACCCAATATTTCTGAAGGAGAAGTTATTCAAGGTTTTTTTAATTTCAGATGCATTGTCATTGTTTGCTTCTACTACTTCTATGCTTACATTTCTAGGAATCCTTACGTCACGTTATGCGGAAGAAGATTTCCTCTACTCCTTACCTACAAAACTGATCATAGGCCTTTCTTCACTTTTTCTCTCCATTGCAACTATGCTGATAGCCTTTTCGGCAACAATAATCGTCATGTTGGAACATGACTCATCACGTTTATGGGCTTTTCTTCCTGTTATTGTACTTGCTAGTGTTCCAATAACAGTTTTTGTGTTACTACAATTTCCCCTTCTTGTTGAAATAATTTCTTCTACTTATGGTTCAGGCATCTTCAAGAAGAGGGTGGTGAGGTGGCCATGAAATGTGTGTATAGTTCACATCTTATTATTATTATATGTATTTACCCCTTGAATCTTAATCGTGTAAAGCAGCTGGATTTTTTTCCAGCCTAATTAATTAAGAGCATATAACTTTGTGATGTGTTGATCATCTGCCTTTGCGCATTCAGAACATAAATGTGTTGATGTGTTGTGTTGTGCCAAATTAATTAAAGTGCATGTGTGTGTTTTAATTTGTTTCATCCCAAGTCTTCATTTTCTTAGATTATTTTATTTTCATAAATAAATTTAATCATGCTAGGAACGAATACATTTACAGCGCAAAATAGAATTTATGATTTTTATTTAATAAATAGTATTTATCTTGTACATAAAATAGGGACGGCAATGGATTGGGTGGGTCCCCGCCGTCTTTATCATTTTCTTTTTCATTTTATATTTATTTTTATCTTACAATTGTGGGAGTTTTATTTTATTGGTATAAGGGATTATGACCGTTTAAGATGAGAATTTGCATTCGAATCGATATAAATACATAAAACACATTTTAAAAAAATTACCACTTGATAATAATACTTGAATATAATCTAATCAAATAGTCATACACACACAAACTTTATTTTATACTGGTAAAAGAAACTCAACTTTTTCTTACTTAAAATTAAAGGTTTGAACTTTGAACCAGGGGAATGGGATAAAAAAGTTTACGGGTGCTCTATGCTCACTTTGTCCCACACCAAAAATGTGTTTTATGAATAAAATATCATTTGAATTAATTTGTTTACAATAATACAGTGGCGAATGTAAGAAGAGCATCTAGGAACCCATACTTAAAAGCATTCTTTATAAAACATGGAGTTTTTATTTGTAAAAAAAATGTTGAAATCAATTCAACCCCCTACTTTTAGATAAATTTTCAGTTTTGGCCCCCCACATGGTGACTTCTAGATTGGTCATTGTACATTATAAATATGAAATTTAGAAAATCATACGCCGCTCAATACTTTAAGAGAAAAAAATTGAATAATAAGTTAGAATATTATCATGAATACATCACGAAGGTAGATGAAGTAAAATCAAGTAAAGAAGAAACCCAGATGAGAGGGTGACATTAAGCTTCAAGTGGGAACCAAATCCTGAGAGGTAGATGCCTAGATGGCAGACGGGCTTGCAATTAATTAGTGATTGTCTACCAATATCACAATTGAGTGGTTCTAATTCTATTTATTTATCATGTGGTTTATTTCTTATTCATTTGGGTTGGCGTATTTAATAATAATCGGAGTGATTAAGAAGTGGAACCATAAATAAAAACGGCTTTCGAACTGGTTAGAATAACATAAGCAAAATGCCAGTCTGCGATCACGTTATGAGGGAGGGAGAAACATACGATGGGCCTTCAAGAAATTTGGAACCCGAGGAAGCCTGCTTTGAATAGAAGACATGTGTCCTGTAAAGGTTCGAATCTCGAGAGGCCACGTGGCATCAATGGTTGACAGGCTCAACGAACACGGACGATGGATAAGCTGAACATGACATCTTGTGATTGTTAGGCTGGAGATTAAAACACAGGATTTCACCAAGTTTTACTTTCGGCATTAAAAAATAACCGTTGCCAGAACTTTCGGCTTAAAAAGAGAGACCGATGACGGGACAGCTGGCAACAAATGAAGACGTGACTAATATAATTTTGGTTCGATTTTTACATATTTATCAGCTCTTTTTGTCATCTGTGTTATTCCAGGAAGCAGGCTGTGTGTCTGATGTTGAAACAGCAACACAACGAGCTGCTGCTTTGTTTGACCAAGAAAATACGTTACCTTCTCCTCCTTTAGCCTTAATAGATAGAATTAGTCATTTTTAATTTGTTTTTCTCAATGGAAGCGGCACATTAATTTATAGTTCTTTTAATTCTCCCCAACAAATAACTAGCAAGTGGCGATGAAATTTATGTTTTTGTTCCCTCGTGAAACAAGATCTTTTTTTTTTTTGGGGACTTTGATCAAGTCTAACACTGCCACGCATTAAAAAAGACTCAAAAAAGTGATAAGGTGATTGCAAATTGACTCACGTTAAAATAAATTGACTTATAATTCGGGGAATCAAGGTTGAAATCGAGAGAGATATGTCTATATCTAGTACCCAACTCTACTTCAAATAGGATGGTCTCTGATCAGAGTGTGAGCAATCATAGAAACTCTACTCTTTTCATGGTGGAACGATTCCGTAATTGTTTTTTTTTTTTTTTTGCATGCATGGTTTCTGATGTCCTTGTTCCCGTATGTAACGTTGGTTAAAAAAAATTAAAATGGGCTCTTGATGTGTCTAGAACGATTCAGCATACACAGCACATGGCCGATTTTAAAAGAAAGAAAGAAAGAGTAATTAGAAATTGTGAGCCCAAGATGCGTACAGGTCCATTTTAGAACTTCTGTAGTCCAACCTCCCATAGTCCCATGTATGAATTTTGCTATAATCACATCATTAATTCTTATATAAAATAGTAGATTTATAATTTTATTATAATAAATTGATAACTTCATTATACTAAATATTTTTACAACTACAATTCAAAAATTCACAACTTGTAATATTTCTATGGTCGTTAGCACTTAGCACTACAACTCTAGTGGTTGACTGCTGGCTAGCCCAATGCCAATGGTGGGATTCCAACGGCCGATCGGCAGGGGATATGATATCAGCATTGGTGACCATGATGCAGATGAGATTTTTTAAAATAAATGAAGAGTATTTAAGTAATTAAAAAAACTTAATTTCAATTTAATTCCTTATTCATGAAATTTCATAATTATGTCATCCTATGAGTTATAAATATTAGGCTATACATAATTGTCCTTAAATTAAAGTCTCTCATTGATAGTTGATACCATCAATATATATATATACACACACACATTAGGTAAGGGGGACATTGATGCACAAAGAGAAACTTCTTATTCAATATAAAATACATATAGTAATAATAAGATGTCAATTATATTACACACACAATTCATGGCCACTTCTTCACTTTCGTTATTACAAGATAAGTTTACAGGAGTGTTTTTTTTTTTTTACCTTAGGGAGCATTTCAAAAGCGCGTCCATATTGAGCACTCCGAAATTTATAGGAGCGCTTAAAAAAAGTGCTCCTGTATGTACATTATACAGGAGCGCTTTACAAAAAGTGCTCCCGTAAGGGAGAACCAGTATATAAGGGCAAAAATCACACACTGGAGCCCTCTTTAAAAGAGCGATCCTGTATGCTCGAACCTATACCGAAGCGCTCTATTAAAGAGCGCTCCTGTATGATCTATATAGGAGCGCTCTCTATAAGAGCGCTCCCGTATGCCCGAACCTATACCGGAGTGCTATATTAAAGAGCGCTCCCGTATGATCTATATAGGAGCGCTCCCGTATGATCTATATATAAGAGCGCTCCCATATATGGTACTTTATAGGAGCGCTCTTCAAATGAGCGCTCCTGTATATTACTTTTATTTTTTTTTAAATTAAATTTTTTAAAATTTCTCCTTTTACATCTCTTTAACAATAACAAATCATAATGTCAAAAACTAATTTAAAAATAATATCAACATAAAAATTTATATACAAGAAAAGAATTTGAAACTGATACAACAATTTCAATTTTCTAACTAACCTAGTTTAATTTCTAACAAGCCTTATAAATGAAACTATTGTTATTTTTCTAATATTGAAATCTAACTTCCAATCACAAACAGCCAATAATATATTCTGACCATTCTTCAACTAAATCTTCCATTTGCTTCATAGTAAAATGCGAATATCTTGCTCTAACAAAATACTACACAAAATATAAAAGCAATATATAAGTAATTAACATTATATTAACTTAATTTTAAAGCTTTTGACTTACATTTTCAGGAATGATCAACTCTTGTTGTGTAATTACTTTTCTTATAAACTTCATAACATAGTATCCATATTTCCAACTTTGTAATTATATAGGTACCTATAAAATAATAAAAGATGTCATTATTAAAATATGGTAGAAATAAATTCTAACTTAATTTAAAATATTTCAGCGATGGACAAGCGCTCCGGAAGAAGGCGCTCTTCCGAAGAGCTCAACCACGAGCGCTCCGGAAGATCTGTTAAGAAGGCACTCTTCTGGACCAGATCTTCCAGAGCGCTCGTCCAAGAGACTCCGAAAGGTCCGGAAGAGTGCCTTCTTCCGGATAGCTTAACTACGAGCACTCCCAAAGGTCTTTTTAAATTTTTAATATTTTATTTATATTAATTAAGAGTATTATCTTATTGAGAAGCCCTGACATACAAGAGAGCTTATTTAGAAAAGCGCTCCAGTAAATTCTGCATTTACATTTTAGAGTACTTTTTAAAGAAGCGCTTCTAAATACCCGCTCCTAAAGATATATTCTGTAGTAGTGCTTTCTCCTAAAGATGCCTGGACAATAAGTAGAAGAAATTATTTCAAGCAAAAGAGGAAACTGTAAAAATACAAAGAGGGTTACTGGAACACTAGCAAACATAATGACAAGAAGATAAGCCCATGAATGTGATGTGGTATGTTGCAGCATGATGATTATTGTTGTGGAAAAGGCGACTAACATAGCTACAATGGGTAGAAAAAGTGTAGAAAGGCCTATGTTCAGTTTTCCGGGTAAGGAATAAAGGAAGTCTTCCTCAGCATAGCGTGACGTAAGGATTCCTAAAAATGTCAGCACAGAAGTAGTAGAAGCAAACAAGGACACTGCATCGGAGAATAAGAAAACTATAAATAAATTTTTGTTCAAAAATACTGGGTACCCTGAAGTTCCATCATTTCCTCCTGGAACAGTGAAAGCAGTAGCAAACATGATGGTGATGATTAGAGCACCAACAACTGAGCATGAAGTTGCTGTTTGTTTCATCCATTCCTCTCCTTCCTTCTTGAGTCCTTTGTGGTTTTCTTTGAAATAGTCCAGAGGATTCAACCTTTCTTGGTTTAGTTGAAGAACATGTCTAGGTTCCACCACTTTCTCTACCGTCTATATTTAATTAAAGAAGTAAGGATCTAATAGAAAAGTTGTGATCAATTATATCTCAAAAGATTTGTTATATCTTACCTTGAACCACTGGAATTCCCGTTGCATCTGCAAAGCGGCACCGGAGATGCGGTTAAGTTGGGAAGCAGGAGCCAACATGGCTGCCATGTGCAGCAAGTTATTGCCGAAGGGGCCACTTGGCATTGTTGCTACCACATGGTTCCTAAAGCGAAATCCAAGGAGGAAGTTGAAAACTTCAGCTTGACGATATTTCACTGCATTGAAGAAAATATGCCCATGTTGTTGAGCTGAAATCATCTTCGACACTAATTCTGGTTTCTTTTTTAATACTTCGCACAAGAACTCTACATTCCCCGATTCAGTTGCTGCCAACAGTGCTTTTGTAATCATACCCTCTTTATCTTTGTTCAGACAATTTAGATTCTTAGAAACTAGCTTTAGAATTTCATCCGTCCGTCTATGTGCAACCTTCATCTTACGTATTCCCTTCATTCCTGGACAATTGGTAACTCCAGCTAAAATCATCAAGACTGAAATCTTGAAAGTATATCCAATTTAACTTTTAGGAAACTTTCAGCATACCTGATAACTTATATGTGTACGAGATGAGACTGTGTAGTAGATGCATCCCTATTGAGATGGAATTTTGTTAGCTTAATCATCCGAGCAAGGATCACATACACATGCATACAGAGGATATGAATGCATGCATGTCTCCATAGGTTCGCCTGTTTTTTTTTTTTTTTTAATTTTAACAAGGGTCACACACAGACACGTGTATATTGTATGTATATAGTGGTTTATCTTTTTCTTGTGTCGTACGTGGTTAATTTCACTTGTATGCAAACATTTAACATATATACATAAATTATGGATAGGACTTCTAATTATGCCCAAATTGAGCTCATACGGTTTTCAATTTCACATTTTATTTTCACATACCTGATTTTCATATGCCATAAATAAAATAAAGGACTATGCAACATCTTTTAATCCATATGTTCTAGTATTTGATTCTTAGTATTATCTGATTCCTTCTTCTTGTAAACTGATAGAGAATATTGTACCTTTAACATTGTTATTCATCTCGCCTTCCTGTTCATCAATGTCTACGCAGATATGCTCAGTGGCTGTGGTTGATGGTATTTTGATACCTTCCACCCAGAAAGTATCAAAGAAATGGAGAAGTATGATGAGCTTCTTCAAATAATAAAATAACTAAAAGAACAAGTAATTTGAGTGAAGCTATTCAATTTTTCTGAGATTGTTTCAACTATTTCATGTCACTTGCAAGCGCATGCACAAGCAAATTAGTTTCCAACATACTATGATTTCGTGAAATATAACAAGACCTCTTGGGCATTTGGGTTAGCTAGAATATTGTATATATAGTGAGCTTAAAATAAAAAATTGGAGGATTTGTTGAGCAATCTTAGCTGATAATTAATATTGGACCTGCTCCCATATATGCTAAAAAGCGAGATATTTCCTATTCTGCAGGTTTTTATTCCAATATTTTGAACCAGGAGGGAAACCACTCAATTCTCATGAGTGCCACATAACTAGGGCCCAAACTAAAATGTAGTTACGTTAACGTTGCCTATAAGCTAATGAGATATGTTTATTCCACTGACTTGGGAGAAGACAACATCAAAACAGGCTTCGAGTTCTATTATTATTATTATTGTCGTTGTTGTTGTTAGGAAGGCTGCATGTTTGTTATATCTTCGCTCTTCTATTGGTTTAAATTGGTAACTATATATTACCGTAACCAATGCAAATATATGCACATGCACATACATACATGTATAATGCTTAATTATTGCCACTGAACTGATCAACACAACAAAATTTTACAGCTATAATGACTACTATTATGCTGAGAAATAGCTTAAAACAATAATGATTTATGACAACATTAACCGTAAATATATGTAGAGTGTTGTATACAGAGCTTTGAGTTGGCTGAGTGAAAGTGATTCAGAAGATTGATTTTGGACAATTTTTCAAACAATCATTTGCACGCAGAACAAAGATAAATTAATGCATTGAGTGAAAAATTATCGAAGAATATGCTTTTAAGTTGACTACTGTACTTAGTGGACTTCCATTTGTGTTAGAGAGAAAAGGTGATGACATGGATATAATTATTTTAGAATGAGTATACTCAACCAGATATAATAAACAGAACACGAGGAAAATGAAATTATACCAGTGACAGTTAAAATAACTTCAGCTTCGCCATCTTTACTTTCATCATCATAATTATATTCAGCATTTTGACTAGTACATAACTAAATTAGCAAACAATATATAGAAAATATTGGGATAAACAGAATGTTGAACGGATAAGTACTAACAGAGATAAACACATCGCTTCAAGAACCCAATTTGACTTTTGTTTGGAGAATTAGAAAGATAGTATGCAATCTGCTGAATTGTTGACCGGTTCTTCACGTCAGCAGCAAAAAGTAGCTCCGGCATCGTTGAAGCAAATGCAAGGCAATATCTATTTATATATCATAATCATATAGAATGTCATAATCAAAAACGTGAACATATACATTAGAGAAAAAAATGAAAATGAGACATATATTATGACTTGATGAAATTATATAGAAGTAATTTTAAGAAATGTTACCAAGATTTTCAGTGACAAAACAGACTTTGAGAAACGAAGCACCCCTTATGCCTCTTTCTCCTTTGAAGAATTCCAAAGGAGTCTTCGAATAGAGATAACGCCCCATTTTATTGAAGCCACAATGAAAACCCAATGTAACAGGAAATATCCATTTCTGGTATTTATTTGAAGTTTCAAGTACATTTTTATTTTCCCTGACCAAGCGTTCTGCAATTGAAACGAGTCCGCTATGTGATGCAGCAATGGCAAGTGGAGTATATCCAGAAGAATCGTGTGTTACAAGATCATTTGGTTCGACTAATTCCATCAATTCCTCTATTATGCGCAAATGACCAAACTTTGCAGCCACGTGAAGAGGTGTTTCGCCTCTCGCAGAAAATTTTACCTTCCAATCACTAGGATGGTGATCAATGAATGCTTTTACAGCAGACCAGTTGTCCTCAGATATAGCCTTATAACAACCATCCACTTCAGTACAATCTTCTACCTCTGTCATCACGTAATCACCAATTCTTGACACACATACGCGCATAGATCATAGGAATAATTAAGAGAAAAGGTATGGAGAAATCAACCGAGAATGATTAATGAATGTGTCAGCATAGAGAAAATTGAATTGTGAACTTTTAACAATTTTATTATGGCACCTGTCTCTTCAGCATCACTTTGCGCTTCTTCTTGTTTTTCCGGTGGAGACGAGGTAGTAGTCTCATTAAATTCTGAACTTTGTTGTTTTCCCTCAGAAGGACCTTTGCCGCTAACTAGCTCACGACCTTTCCCTTGACATATAAGAAATGTACAGTTCAACATATGACATAAAATAGCATGAAGGTATGGCTTATAGCGAGTGTATCGTAAGAAAATTAAACCATGCGCTAGCTAATTCTCTCCATTTTTTATCAGCTAATTTCCCTATCAAACCCTCTTAGGGAATCTGGAACATGTTTGTGTGTCAATCACTTCTTGCCATTTGCTAGTGGTCTCAGGTAACATAAAGTAGTGGCAAATCGATGACTTTTTAAATGGTAGACAATTTTTCTGTCTTCAGTCCTACTCTCTATATGGAAGACGCTGGATTGGCTACTGACAGATGCAGCTAAAGAAAGTGGGTGGTTTTAGTTTTCTTTAAGTTAATAACGTTAGCTTAGTTGAAACTGAACCAAATGATGGAGATATATATACTGTAAAATACAACAAAAGTAATAATAAAAACTTACATTCATTTTCTTCATTATTTTCTCTCTCTTTTCTGCATTCAGCTTGCTTTTGTTGCAGCTACTACCTTAAGAGTTATAATTGTGATTCTCACAGTACCATATGACAAGCCGGGGGTGAGGGACACACGAAGATCTTCAAATCAATACAACATCCACTAATTTCACAGGATGTTGAAGAAGCTAGCTAGAGCTGATACTATGCCGGCTACTTGTTGGATTTCTAGGAAATCAAGTCTTGATCAAGGAAAATGTAGCCTAAATAGCACCTCTAAAGTTCTTCAAGAAATTATAATCTTGACATGATTAACTAATGACAAGGGCTTATCCGCAGAAGTTTAAGGATTAAGAAGGAGCTCACCACAGGGGACTGACCTTTAAATTTGGAAGGAGGAGCCTGTGGATTGTATGCACGACTGAGACTATTCCATGCATCCTTGGCTTTTGAGGTATATCGTATATAAGAGTGATTGTTAGGCTCACAAGAGATGCGAATGACGTGCAATGCTGCAGCATTCTTTCTCTGCAGCATTCTTTCTCTTCCGCACTCTTTAGTCTGGTTGGTTTTTCACTACCACTCGTCTCTCCCCAAAGATCTAGAGATATTAGATAGTTCTCTACCCATTTAAACCAATCTTTATGGGACGACTCTGTGAGTGGTTCTGCAACTATGTCGTTGAAATTGCGGTTCGCTGCAGACATAACTCAACCTGAAACTGTTGTTGGAACTTGGAGATGGTGATGCACTCTACGTATTACGCTCCTGTGACCATGAGTTCAGTTTGAAAATTGAAATTGTAGCCAGCAGTTAATTGACAATATTTCGTTGAAAGGAACCAAGATTATAGACATCACTTACCAGTTGAACTTGGCTATGTAACTTCCCTTCTATGACTGAAACTCTTGAACGGTGTGTCAATAGCTTCTCTTCTTTAGAATTGACATATTAAAAACAAGAGCTCGAACTGGGCCCCGCATGATGAGCGAGGGAGGAAGACATGGTGCGGCTCCAAAAACTGGAACCAAAGGGAGCCTGCTTGGTTCGGAAGACACGTGTCCTGCAAATGTTTCAAAAGGTCACGTGGCATAAATGGGTGACCAAGCCAACTTGATAGCACCTTTCGGTATCAAAAGTGGGGATATTTCTGTGGGTATCAGATTTTTCACTCTCCATCATTGAAACTTTGGAAGACCAGTTGATAATTGCGATTGTTTAAAAGGGGAAGTCCAAACATTACTCCTTTCCATCATTATTATAAGATATTCTTTTAAATATCAAAGCATAAATTGACTACCAAGACATAAATAGAAATGAAAGAAAATGAAAAAAGAGAAACTAGACAGAAGAAGAAAGTGAAGAAGATATAATTTGAAAAAACAACAATCAAGGATCTCTATATAAAATTCATATCAGTTAATGAACTCAAATAAATTGTTTTTAATTTATAATTAATTATTATTAAAATCCAAATAGATATTTATTAATAAAAGATTAACTTAAATCAACAAGTATCTATTTGAGTTTTGACAATAACTAATCATTATTTGATATAAATTTCATACAGAGGATTATTATTTTCTCATGTAATTTTCTCTCATTGGCTAATCAAGAAAAAACAAGAAGGAGAGAAAAATTATTAATTTCATAGGGACAATAATAACTTTATATTATTGTAGAAAATATTACCTCTAAATCACAACATAAGTTTTTTTTCTAAAAACTTTGCTTGGTCCAACATATAGGATATCAGGTTAATGTTATATATTTTTCTCCCAGTAAACCCTTACTTTATTAAGTAATTAATGAGGGTGTTTTAAATAATCAAATGTTATATTTATTAAACTCAAAAATACAATTGAAAGATGTAAAAAATTTTAACAAAATCAAAATTTTAACTAACTTTTTCTATAAATCTAAATTAATTAACAATGACTTATATTATAATTTAGATATAATGAAACTTAAAATTTTAATGTATTATTTATATAATTTTCATTAGATATTACTAACGGAACAAAATATTTTTTGGACAAAAACTAATAGAATAAATATATATTTATTTCAAATTATTTTACCTACTTTTGAATTTTAGTTATAAAATTATTAAACATACAATAATCTAAAAATTTTGAACTGCAACATGTATAAGGATGAAAATATAGGGAGGTAGGGAGAGGAAAATGAAAAACATTTATGGGTAAATTTGGGAATAGAGTTTTTTCTCTAAAATCTCCTGTATTCAGAAAGAAAAGTTAAAAAAGAAAAACATGTGGGTCTAACATGATTTAAATTTGATGAGTAGCTTAATTAAGCAGATTCACTCAATGAGTGTCTCATATGGTATGATAAGAATGATTTGATTTAATTAAACAGCTATAAAATATTTTGTTATATAATATTTAAAAAATATCAAATCTCATTTTTTGAGGGGATAAATAAGTAAGAAGTGTTCTGATCATAAAAATTATTTTGAATCTTTGAAGACAAATATATCTTGATAATTTTTAAGTATATATTGATAAAATTATATAGCTGTAATTAAGACGCTCATTAAACAATTGTACTTATGTTACACACAAAATCCAAATCCATTTTCTTTTTCTTACTTTTCTCTTCCACTTACTTTTCTATGTCACCAAACATAGCATTTGAGACTTTTAAGATATGATTAATAAAATTTTATAAAGCCATCTTCAATTGGGAGGTAATTAATTATAAGATTTTCTAATTTGTACATCTATTAAATAAAAATAAACATAAAACAATATGTAATTTTAAATACATTGTTAACCAACTTATGGAGATGTAAATTACCTAGTTAAAAGTAGCTTATGATTTTAAATAGAGGAATCTCCTTACCTTTATAGGAAGGTAGGGTTGTCAAAGGAAATTTTTTCAATGGTAATCAAATTGAGTGACAATCAACCATATAAAAGTCAAGCTTGTTTTCTTTTTTTTTTTTCGGCTTTGATATATATATATATATATATTGTCACCTCTTGCTGAATGACACAAAATATATCTATAAACACACATATTTTAATCCTTAATTTAATAAGATTTTCTTTTTTTTTAGAATTGTAGTTAGTTATATTTGTATTAGGTTTGGGACATTCTTATGTTCTTCAAATGAAAGTCTTAATATTTTTATAGAAATTTTAGCAGAGCTTCCCTCATAAATAGGATCTACTGAAAATTCTACAATAAAATTTTCAAACAAAAAAATAAAAAAAAGCACTATAACTAAGAGCTCTACTCCTTCCAGCCGATAGACAAAATATATAACAAAATAAGGATCGTAATTGTAGTTTATTTAGAGCACCTAATCATATTTTTTATGACATAATATATAAATTTTATATTTACATCAATAGGAAATATTTATAGAATAAATTTCCACCCAGCTCCACAAAAGTCCTTCATTAGTTAAGCAAGACGTACAGCATCAATTGCTCTATTTGGGACTAAAATAACTTTTCAGTTATTAACATCCTCTCCGTAGCATTTTGTAAAATCAAAATGAATAAAATACAATAGTTATAAAAATTAAATGAGGAAGCAATTTAGTGTAAACAAATTTATAAACTTGAAATAAAAATTCTTTATAACTTTAATAACAAGAACATTT